CCCCAAAACCCCAAAACCCCAAAACCCCAAAACCCCTAGATTGGGAATTATTCGGATTTGGTAAGAATTAAGGGATTTCAAATTGAAGAATATACATAGGATTTAGGATACGCCTATTATATAATTAACATCATATATCTAAATATGCAAAAACTAGCTGTGCTCCTATTGTTAGCCTCATCAGCTCTCACTGCCAAAATTCCACTCAGAAAGGTCCAAATCACCAAGCAAAAGTTCCTTTCCGCTAAAGAGAGACTCAACAGTGAAGTTCCAAAATTCCTCGACAACGGTCTTGGTGAAAGCATCCCAGTCAAGGACTACATGAATACTCAATATTTCGTTGATGTTGAAATCGGTACCCCAGCCCAAACCTTCACTGTTGTCCCAGATACTGGTTCATCAAACTTATGGGTTTACTCAAGCAAATGCTACGCCATTGTTTGCTACTATCACAGCTTGTATAACGCAGCCAAGTCATCTACCTACAAGAAAAATGGAGAGAAGTTCGACATCACCTACGGTTCTGGATCTATTTCAGGTACCGTGTCAGAGGATGTTTCAAACCTCGGAGGTACTCACTCCCACATTGGCTTTGGAGAAATCACCTCAGTCTCAGGTGCTTCTTTTTACGCTTCTCAAATGAGCGGAATCCTCGGTCTCGCCTATGATACCATTTCAGTTGACAAGATCCCAACCTTCATTGACTAAAGCGACCTTACCGATAAGAGTTTTGCCTTTTACCTCCACTCAAACCCAGATGCCAGCTACATGACCATTCCAGGCTATGACACAGATGCCGTTGGAAACAACGAGTTCACCTTCCACAACGTCGTTGAGCAAAGATACTACTCACTCAACCTCACTGGCCTTAAGCAAGGTGACACATCCATCCCATCTAACAACTTCAAGGCTGTTATTGATTCTGGTACTTCAGTCCTTGTTGGTCCAAATTCTCTCGTTAACCCACTCATCAAGGGTATCACCGTCAATGATGATTGCTCAGGCCTCGATAAACTCCCAACCATCACCTTCCAAATTGATAACCTTGACTATACCCTTACTCCAAATGACTATGTTCTCCAAGTTACCCAAGGTTCAGACACTGAATGCGTCCTCGCTGTTATGGGACAAGACTTCCCAGCTGGCTTTGACTACTTCATCCTCGGAGATACCTTCATGAGAAAGTTCTACTCATACTTCGACAAGAAGAACAACAGAGTTGGCTTCATCAATGCTGAGAAACTCCACCACTGAGTACAAATACATCCTCGTAGTTGACTCAGAGGCAATCAAATCTTCAAAATATTCACATTAAATAGCTTTAAATCATATACTTCTTTTGTTACATTATATCCTCTATAAATAAACTTATTAAACTTATGAAATTAAGTAAAGATATTAAGTATAGTCAAAGATTATCCGCTAAAAATGCCAAATTAAGTAATTTTTCATTCAGCTTAAGGGGTTAAAGAGACATAGTCTATTTCCACACATCTTTTTTAATTCTTCTTTTTAGCTTTCCCCGATCAAATTGTTATAGAGAATCACACCTTTAATTGAAGTATTAGAGGTTGCTAGTTCATTGGCAATCTTATAGGCTCCAGGATTACTGATCCTGTTATTATTAAGATAAAGATACTCTAATGTTTTATTTCTTCTTATACTTTAAGAGAAAAAATCAGCACCCTCATCTTCAATAGAATTACCCTCTATGTATAGATGAGTTAGTCCTTAATTGACTGCAATTAGCTTTGAAATATATCTAGCACCTTCATTGCTTATGAGATTATTGTCAATATAAAGAGTATTCACAGTTCTATTGTCTTTAAGTCCCTCATATAAATACTCACATCCCTTGTCCTTAACTCTATTAAAGCTTAATCTCAGAGATTCAAGAGTCTTATTAATCTGCAATGCTTCTGATAATTTCATCAAACCCAAATCTGTTATCTTATTGGTATTAAGGTCAATTTTATGAACAGAAGAGTTATATTTAAGAGCTTCAGCAATAACTTCTATACCATAATCAGTAATCTGACCATAATTTAGGATCAAACTTTTTGTCCCCTCGTACATTCCCTTTAAACTATTCAAAATAATTTTCTATTCTTCAGGCTTCATATAGTCATTATTAACATTGATTAGTTCAATAACTTCAATATCAAACTTGACGCCTTCACATTTTCTTTATGTTTCAGCATCTAGTTGTCTTTGTGGATTAGCTAGAGCACCCAATGTTTTAAAATTTTAATCAATAAATGACTTTATTATATTCTCGATAACAAGGTCATTCCTTTGTATTTTGAAAAGTTATCTCCACTTATTTTCATATGTTTAGTGAGATTATTTTAAATGAACGGAGATGTCTACAATAGCTTTGTCTATCTTCTTGATTGATTCTCTATTTAGATATATCCTCGAGAATGCTAGATCTTTATATTAGTTTTGCATGTCTTGCATAGCTTTTGATACGTTTCCATACAAATCTGCATACTTTTAGAGATCTGATAAATCTTCAATCTTTAATTTCTTAAATATATCATCCACTTCTTGTCGTTTCGCTTAATGATGGTAATCTATAATCATTCTTATTTTTTGGAAGAATTCATCAGTATCTTGGAAAATCTTAATCTTGTATTCTGAGACTCTGGCCTCCTTGACTTTAATAAACTACTCCTCAAATATTTTGAAATTATCGTCGAATCTCTTCATCATATCAATAATAACTGGCCTCAAGTTCACTACCTAATGATATTTATGTTCGCCATCAACTCCACAAACTTCACATATAAATGCCTCTTCACAATCCTTGCAGAGCTAAGTCAAAGGGAAACTATGAATCGCACAAAGTTCTGCTCCAGCAGGTAGATTAGAATTTTAATTGCTTCCTAAGGGTTGAAACATCGACGGCTGAACATTTGAAAATATTGATTACCCCATCATTGAAGTATTCTTTTCTATAGATTGTATTTTAGATCTCTACCTTAGTATTGGCTCAGTAACAATTGATCCTTAATTCTTGTTAATTGATTTTGATCGAGATCCCTTAGATGTCGTTTATTATTTAGACATTAAATTATTAGTTAAAATTTTAGCTTTAGCAGTTTAAAAGGGCAAAATTATTGTTTATTAATAATATTATTGATATCAGAGAAATCTCTATATGATTCAAAACTAAGATAAATTGGCTATCAATTTATACGCAATTACATTCGATCCTCAGGACACTGAATGCTTCAACAAATTAACTGAATTCTTCAGCTTTAAAACTTTAAGATACATAGACTCAAACTTTGAATCGAAGCTCGAAAATATGAGGGATGAAATTCGATTACAAATGGTGAAGGAAAAAAAAGTGTAGTTGATTGTAGTATTGAATGAGCTGTATTCTGTACAGCAAATTTAAAAGATCTACAGTCTGTTTTAATATAAGGATTTACAGTACATTATTGCTTAGAGGAAGTCATCAAAGCTACTTGAAGTGAATTTTCTAGAAAATTTGCATACCCAGAGCTAAGAAGAGGTGGCCTAAAATTTAATGGATTAATATAGCATAAATTCTGATCTATTCTAGATTATCAATACAAACTTGGACACATAGGGAGATAGCTTTAAGTTTTCCGCTGATGAAATTCAGTTAGATGAGATAAGCTTTTCTTAAAAGTTAAAACTAGTTGAAAGAAAGCACTTCTAAAGTTTGGGATAGAAATATGGATCTCCGCCTAAAAAAAGATTATTGGCAAGGTTCAGCAATAAGATTATACTGGATCACTAATTATTCGACTCCTCAATAGAATTGAGCAGCTCACAAATAAGCGAGCTTGAGAATCTGAGCGAAGTTTCAAACAGCTTTCATATTGATGACACCATTTGGTGTATTGTTGATAATAACAACTTAATGCTAGTAGACTCATCTTAAGCAAATAAATTAATATCAGTTGCTCAAGTTCTTCACCCAATAAAGTCGATAGAATTCGTTAAGCAAGACAGTGTGCTCATTGTATTTTAAAACTTTGGAATAATCACTACATTCAAATTAAAGGAGAAATAGAATAAAACTATACAAAGTATTTTATGCATGAGCCCTAAGAAGTCAAACAAGTATCTGATGACTAAACCACCTAAGAGCCTAGAGTAAATAGAATAATTCAGAGTTAAGGAAGTGTTTAATTGCACGAGCAAACTATCTGAGCAGGAAATACTTATTGGAACTAGCAAAGGACTTCATATTTATAGATATGATAAGAAACAGATGAGCCCAGAGACTTTTGAAATGCTTAGGAATCAATAAGTCTTATAAATAGTCTAAAGTGAAAACTTAGAATATCTGATTATAACTAGGACCTCGAAAGGTTACTAACTTAATTAAGTGAACATTGACAGAGAAACTACAAAGATCATTTATCAATTTGACTGTTTTACAGATACTGAATTCAAAGCCCTGATTCCAATTAAGCATGGATATTTAATTCAAGATTCAGAGAGAGTGGTTTTAATCGACTAAAACGGATCAGTAGTAGATGTGTTAGTTCTAAGAGAAAAGGAAAATGACAGAGATACTATATCCTCAAAAATGGTAGAAGTGTTCAATATGATTGACTTGAGACCAGAATACTTGTTTGTGCTTAATGATAGTATCTGCGAAATAGTTCTAGTTTGAAATATACATAGTGTTAATAACTAATCAAATAAGTCAGTGACATAGATTGGTCATAAATTTATAAATATGCTTCAAGTGTGGAATGTATATAGATGAATTAATAAAAAGCTAGTAAATTGTATAGCTTTGAGTTGCTTTAATTTAATTTATAATTTTATAACCTTCACACAATACTCAGATCAATCTACTCTATGGGGTTTTGGGGTTTTGGGG